AGAGAGAGAGAGAGAGAGAGAGAGACAGAGACAGAGAGAGAGAGACAGAGAGAAAGAGACAGAGAGAGAGAGAGAGAGAGAGAGACAGAGAGAGACAGAGAGAGAACTTTTGTATAAAGGACATACACAGAGAGGGGGGACTTTTTTTTTTATAAAGGACATAAGGACATTTTGGTCTAATCTTAGCAGTTCAACAATTGAACCTATCCTGAAGTAATTAGAAAGTTAAACACATTCTGATACAATTGGTTATGCATTTCTTTTTCTGTGGTTTGATGACCCTTTTGTACATGGGAACCCAATTCTCAATTGTTTAACTGTGCAATCTTCCCTCTGAAAAAGGAAGTGAGGGGGGGATGGAAAGGGGTAAGGAACATTGGTTATCTGTAATCAGTGCCCCGGTTCCAAGCCTCTGGACTAAAGTCTGGTTTCTTCCACTCTGTTCCTGACTTGGTAGCTTGAACAGATGAGACAGTAAAAGGTTTAAGGAACCTGGGTTTCCTTTGTGCTTCATCATACACTAGAGACAGTCTGGTAGGGCTGAAAAACATCACCTTCATGTGCCTGACAGCTTTTCAGAAAGAAAACACTAAGCCTGCTTCACTTTAGTTGTAATTTGAAACTTTGAAGCTGCTAGTTTTTCTTAATTTATGGTTTGGGTGGAAAGGAAAGCTCTCCTATGTTCCTTTAAACGTGTGGACCATCCCTCCTTACCAAGGTTGTTATACACTACTTCCTGTAAGAGGGGATGGAGACATGTGGACCATCCCTCCTTACCAAGGTTGTTATACACTACTTCCTGTAAGAGGGGATGGAGACATGTGGACCAAAGGCAGCCTCAGATCATCAAATTATCTTTCCCTCCTTCCCACAGTCTACCCAGCTCCTGTCGTCCTTTTCAGATGTAAGACATTACTAGGCCTTGGTGGACCTGAAGAAGTTGTCATGATTTTTCTTAGCCAAAGCTAAGGAAGGAAGGAAGGGAGGGAGGGAGGGAGGGAGG